TTATATCCTTTGGTGTAGACATACCTGGATATTTAATGAATTCAGCACAAATGTAGAATTAATATTCCTTAACTAAATGGGTAATCAAATGGAGTATTCTGCTGTTTTACTAAAGGCATCCATACGTGCATCAACTCTGGAATAGTAGCATGTAGTTTAGAAATAAACAAAATAATTTCATTTGCAAATAAAACCAATTTGTGTTCAACTGAGTTATGTACTACTCCTTGGATCTCCTTAAGTTGTCTAATAGCAAAATCCAAGGGTTCCACGCAGATATTAAAAAAGCAAGGATGAAAATGGACATCCTTGTCTAGTTCCTCTAAGTAGGGAAAAAGTAGGCAAAAACAGTTGTGGACAATTCATATATTCTACTTTATGAATTCCAAAGGAAATCCAAATCTATTTAGTACAGCAAACATGTCCTATTTATATATTTTGTCACAGGCATTTTCAACATCAAATGATAAAATTACAAATTGCATCTTTATTTTTATTCAAGCGTATTAGATCTATGACCTAATGCTGTCTATTGCTTGCCTAGTTTTTATAAACTCTGCATGATCATTCTTAACAAATGATATCACTGGCTGTAATCTATTTGCTGACACGTCCATTAAAATCTTTGTATCAACACTGATCAATATAGATTGGACAATAATTAGCATGCTGAATGTGACCTTTACGTGCTTTTTTGCCAACATAAAAATATGTATCAGTTGATAAAAACTTGTAATCAATCAAGATGATTGTATGAAGTGATCACAATTTGAATCTACATTTCTTTCCCCATTTCACATTCAGATCTACTCTGACAATTACATCACAGTGGTTTGCTCATTTCCAATGCCTCCTGGAGTGGTAGAAAGCTAGTGACTAATAAACGAGTATGTTTTAGCCAATGAAATATGTTCTGGGTGTGGGTTTTGTTGGTAGAATAGTGAAATAGGATCTAAACTTCCCACTCACCTTAAGACTTGCAATATCCTTGTTAAGAGGTCCCTGTTTTTTCTCCTTCTCCAGATGTGGGATATTCAACCGGACCACTTCGGGTGGCATTACAGAGGAGTGTTTTTTCTGGGTTAAAAAAAATGGAGAAAGTGTTCAAGTCCGAGGCATCCGCTCTCTGCTTTTTATTTTCTTATTCTAATTTATGATGCATTCTGCTTTTGAGAGCTTTATTAGATTTATCCAAATTCTTTTTCTTCTAAGTAATTTTATTAATGTTTTCAAAGCCCAAAAGTAATATCAATTAAGAAAAATATAAAAAGCAAACAATAATCTCTTGCTGCTCCCAGGATACCCCGATAGTTATCTCGAAACCTAATTTTCACCACCAAGATATTCAGATGGAGTAAGAAAATGAGGCTTTCTCTCTTAATACCTAGAGTTTTCTTGGGAGACCTTGGTATGCTACAGTCTGATAAAGCAACAATATATTTCATGCTTGCCATAAAAGTTAAAATAGTGGTCCCCCTCTTCAGTTTCTTTTAACCATAACATTAAAACTCGAGGCCAAAAGACGGTTTCCCCTTAAAACCTGAACCAATTCACAAAATTCTCTGATAAAGCTTTGGCTGCCAATAATATTTTGCCTGACTTGTGCCAACAACTTCCATACATAGGATTCAGTAACCTTCCAGGTCCTATCTTCTACATCTACATTTACTGCCTGGGTCCCAAATAACCAGCCTTATTTGGCTTTAGATACTCACTTGCTGCTGTTCTTCTTCCAGTTTCAGCTTCTCTTCAATCAGCTCCGTTGCCCTTTTTATCTTGTGGTCCATATCCATCTTTGTTTGTCCTGGAAATGTGAATCTTCTCGCCTATTCCTCAGGTCCTGACTCAACTACCCTATCTTTTATACCGTACAGTAAGTATTCTCTGACATCTCCTCTCGCAGTCACTGATATTAAGATGTATGTCCTGCCCCCAGGTGCCTTTGTCATGAGCTCAGTCTGTCAAACTCTCTTCCTTTTCACAAATCGTATTTCTAGTGATCCTTTAATAGTCACACATATCTGGCTAATCAGGAAGTGAACACAGAATCAGGAAGTGAACTGCAGAGGGGGATGGGATTTTGGCAGAATTCCTTTAGTTAGTCCCATATAGATGGTTGGGCTTCCTTGGTTAGATTGTGGGTAGAGTTTATAGCTCTATGGCTGGACAGAATTCTCCATAACTACTTATGAATCATTATAATTCTTGGTACAATAATCTAATATATAATCATAGAAGTGATCCCCAACTTGGCATCCTCCAGATGTGTTGAGTTACATAGCCTGAGTACACTGGTTGAGAACAGTAGATTTATAATCCAACACATATGAATACCAAATTAGGAAGCTCCCTATTTATTTTAAAATGCTACCTGCTAAGGGAAAGCGCTACATATTACATACCAGCTCAAAGGGTCTGCCAGAAAGATTTGCTAACCTGCCAGGCATCTAACTTAGTCACAAAGCCTGGAATAGTGAGCATGGAGTACTATGAATAATAATGGGTGAACTGGGGGCAGATGAGATGACATTAGGAAGAGTTGAGCTGAAAACTATTTATAGTGGACACAGTCTCTGTGCCCCTCCCCCCTTTAAAGTATGACAGCAATATTGCTCAACTAATGGGATGTTCCTGCATGCACAAAATGGGAATCCTTTTTGCTAATAATCACTCAGAATTTATTTGGGCGACTTTCTTTCCAACAATAGAAGTTTGCTTACCTAGGGATACAGAATGAGCTACTAAGGGAGGGAATAGACTGATTGACCAAACATATTTTGGCCCGTTTTATAATGTGGCTTGAATCTGCTTAACATCCTTTTTCCTACTATCCCAGTTTCCTGAGATGAATGATTTTAATCACAATCAGTCTATATTTCCTAATATCTATCTGCACAATAAAAACAAGATCATATATTGCATATGTATTTTTATAAGTAAATTAAACATCTGGTAACTCTTTCAGTTCAGAGTTAACTTATTATCCCTGAAGTTCTTTATAACTTGTAATCTTGCATTCTAGGTATTTTAAAAAAATGTTTAAGTTTTGAAAATGTAATTTTCAAAGCTATATGAACCAGAGGCAAAGTAACTCTGCTACTAAATATATTGATTACAGTTCATGGCCACAAGTTTTGCAAAAGTGTACTGCGTCTATACAAGTTGGCACATCCAAATATTAACAACTGATGTGAGGTTCTAGGGTCCAGCAAGTATAGGTTTATATAAAATTGCCATATTAAGAATGCTAGGTAGCATCATATAAATGCCTAATAAGCCTCGAGGAGATTCCTAATTTTAACTCTTCTACAGTTACAGGATTTCTCTTTTCTTTTAGGGGATCCGACTATCAGCACTGCAAATGAATTTGGCTGAAGCCATTTTCCCTTCGTTTTCGGTTGCCACAGAATTGGGAGGGGGAATGAGTATTTTTTTTAGCTTAGTCAAAACAATAAATTGTTCTATGGGAACCAAGGTCATTGCTGATTGCATTTTGGCAGGCAGAAGCTTCTGTTAGAAAGCCCGCTCGCTCAAGTAGTTAATTGGGGAATGTGATTTATGACATATTACTGGAGTGGGAAGTTCAATTTTGTAACATTGTAACCTTTGGGAGGGAACTTCAGTCTTGGTTTCACTTTTGATCATGCTGATACTATGTAGCCAAATTTATTTATTTATTTATTTAAGAAAACTTTTTGCCTTGGAGTTCTCTTTTACTGGTCTCATCTATCGGAACCATGACACACACTTTGTTATCCTCCCTTATTTGTACTTAGCAGATGAGCAATTTAAATATGTATACTGTACAAGATGAGCATTATCATACATTATTAAGTTAAAAAGAAAAAGATTGGTGTACTTTGTTCTCACTATATTCTTAAATAACGTTCCAATTTTGCATTTCTCTGGTGACTAGGACTTCTACATTAAGTACATATATATTGCAAAACTTGCATCTGAGGCTCAAAATAGATATTAGCATTTAAACATTGGGTTTCAACCTCTTTTCTTCACAGAACCATTGTGAGGTTGGCATATATAATTTTTTCTAACCTGATTTGCCCTTGCAAATGGAAGCAAGTCTGGCTGAAAGGGAACAAAAGCTTGGAGGAAGATGGCAGAATATATAAGTAGCCCTTTTCCCAAGTGGAGATTGCTCCTATACATATTTTTCTGACCCTGGATTCTTATCACATCTAGACATATACCTCTATTTTACTACATGTGTATCCCAGGCTTCCCCTATATACTCAAAGCAGCTTACATGGTTTTCTGCCATCTCTACACAGTGTATCATTGCAATAATGAGTAAGATGGGCTGAAAGTAAATCATTCGCATGAAGTTCATGACTGAGAATTTAAACCTGGTTTTCTATAGCTCAGCACTCCAATCACATATAACAGTGGTGGTGAACCTATGGCACGGGTGCCAGAGGCGGCACTCGGAGCCCTCTCTGTGGGCACGCACGCCGTCGCCCCAGTCCTAGGCCTTCAGCTGGGTTTTATAAAACCTTTTCACTTTAGGCCTCCACCATGTGCAAAAAAAAAAAAAGGTTCAATCAATCAGTCAATTTCAACTTCTCGCGGGGAAAAAAAAATCTTGCAAAGTTGGAATTGATTGATTGAACTTTTAGTCCCACCCAGTCTGCTGTTACCACCACAGCCACACCCATCCAATGTGCCATGCCCAACCAATGGGCCACACCCACCCGGCACCCGACGATGCATAAGTGGGTTTGGGGCTGCAGTTTGGGCACTCGGTCTCTAAAAGGTTCGCCATCACTAACATATAATATAGCCATATTTTTCTGTAATTTCACATTCCTATCTGTTTGTCTCATGCAGACTATCATTTCATTTCTTTGGGCAGCGCATTACGATTACAAAGGTTAATCCATCATGCTGACAATTTCTTTCTGGCAAGGTAATCGCTGTAATCGCTGACATGAAAGAATGTAATTAAATCCTCACTGAAACAGGCACATGGATAGTTGGAAAAAGATTTTATTGATAAATTACACTAGGACCCATATACACGATCCATTCTCCACATTACCACACCTTATCTGGATGAGGGCTTGTCCGTAGACCTAGGACGAGCTGACTTGTTGTACAGCCATTCTTGATGCCAACCTCAGTATAAGCAACAGCCTAGATATGGAAGAATTAGCCCTGGCCATTGGTTTATTTATTTTGAGCCAGAGGCAGTAGTCTCTCATGTGAGAGACACTTTGGTCTCATGCTTTCTCTAAAAGCTTTTCAGTACTCAAATGGGAGCTCCACCGAGTCCTTGAAAAGGACTAGACCCACAACCCATCATTTCAGGCTTACAGTCCCAATGTGGGCAGTTCCAACTGGACTATAGTTGAAGGGAAAGGAAGGAGGCATTCTTTCGGTGCCAGCCGAGCCCAGAAATGGGTGAGGAAACTAGTTCTTTGGAGTTTGGGGAAAATAAAAATCTAGCCCAGATAGACATGAAAAGTAAACCATTGGGAGAAACAGAAACCGCTTTGAACATTGCACATCTGTACTACTGCCTAGCTTGCCGACTGTGCTCTGCAGCGAGACAGCATGTGCAGCTTTTTAAAGGCTTTGGATTTGGCTCTGCCAGTCTGCTTTTAAGTGCACTATCTGCTTCTCTAGATGCATAGAACAGACACCTGCTCATACAGGTTTTCGCTCAGTCTCTGAGACAAACTGGGGGTCACACCAACTATCTCTAGCTCAGTTCCTTGGTGCAGAGGGCTGATTGACAATTACTTGAATTACAAAGTCTTTCTGGATTTTAGTCTCCTGCAAGCGGGTCCTATCTGTCAGCAACTTGCCAGAAAAAAACCAACGTTGCCATGCAGGCTGCAGTCCTTCCTGGGCATAGAGTTGCTTCTTAAGTTGTCCAATTGTGTCTGTCATGCTGGCATTCAGACGTAGATCCTTGCCAGATGAGAGGCGCACTTTCAGTGGGAATTCACGGCGGGTATTGGGTGCTGGCTCTGGAGGTTCTGCACCCTCCTCTTCACTCCACTCCATAATCAAGTTAATAGGTGGTGCCAGGCAATATACAGGAAGTTGGTATCGGTTACCCAATTCATCATAGCACTCAGTAAGTGAGCCTGTAGAGGAATGAAAACACCATTAGAGGGCGTGAGAAGCTTAAGGAAAAAGAAATAAAAAAATTATTTTGAGATCATTTTAATTCTAAACTAAAACTTTCAAGTGTAAGCTTTCAGTTTTCCTATCCAGAACTTCCTGATACCATGATGCTATGGACTCCATTGCCGGACTTCCAGTTCTATAGTATGCTCCAGTTTTATCACAAAGTCCTAGAATCTCCTTTTGGTCTTGAAACTAGATGTGCAACCCACAAGCCATTCCTGGACACAAAATCCACTTTCATTTAAAGTTGCTATCCTATGGTATATATGAGGTTGACAAATCTCTAGTTTGAAAGATCACCTCTTGGTTTAGAAGCAAGTACAAAAATTGAAAGATCAGCCTCATGGACCATTGATGAAATGTCTCCATTATGATTGAAAGATCTGCATCATCACCCAAGATATACACATCCTTGGGAATTCTACATGTGAAAGGAAATGGGGAAAAATGAAAAAAGCCACTCCAACATTCTGCAGAAGTCAGTCTAGCAGCCACTGTCCAATGAAGATTGACTGAGACTTACAGTTTTTTGTCTTTGCTGTTAAAGCTGATGTGACAGATAAAAATGCACTTATGTACTCAGGTCCTAGTACCAGTGAACTATTATCCTTGTATCAAAAGTAATTGTGGTGCAGAGCATTATGAAAGAATCAAAATATCTCTAATAATAATAACAATAATAATAATAATAAAGTTGGAAGGGACCTTGGAGGTCATCTAGTCCAACCCCCTGCTCAGGCAGGAAACCCTATACCATTATAGACAAATGGCTGTCCAGTCTCTTCTTAAAAACTTCCAATGTTGGAGCATTCACCGCTTCTGGAGGCAGGTTGTTCCACTGGTTAATTGTTCTAACTGTTAGGAAGTTTCTCCTTAGTTCTAGGTTGCTTCTCTCCTTGATTAGTTTCCGTCTGTTGCTTCATGTCCTGCCTTCAGGCGCTTTGGAAAATAGCTTGACTCCCTTTTCTTTATGGCAGCCCCTGAGATATTGGAATACTGCTATCATGTCCCCCCCTTGTCCTTCTCTTCATTAAACTAGACATACCCAATTCCAGCAACCGTTCCTTGTATGTTTTAGCCTCCAGTCCCCTAATCATCTTTGTTGTTCTTCTCTGTACTCTTTCTAGAGTCGTAACATCTTTTTTACATCGTGGTGACCAAAACTGGATGCAGTATTCCAAGTGGCCTTACCAAGGCATTGTAAAGTGGTATTAATACTTCACGTGATCTTGATTCTATCCCTCTGTTAATGCAGCCTAGCATTGTGTTGGCTTTTTTGACAGCTGCAGCCACTGCTGGCTCATATTTAAGTGATTGTCCACTAGGGCAGGGCTTTTCAACCAGTGGTACGGGTACTACCTGTGGTACATTGGCACCTGGCAGGTGGTACATGACCATCCTAGAAAAGTGGTAGCGGGGGAGGGGAATGAGCTGAACCGGTGGCAACACCGCACAAGCCTGAGTGAGAGATGGCTGGAGCTGCAGGGCTGTCAGGGCTCAGCGGAAGGGCCAGGATCAGCGCCAGGCTCCAGCTGGAGCTTGGCGCTGATCCTGGTGCTTCTGCTGAGCCCTAAAGAAGCACCAGTCAGCTGGAAAGCAGCACTGATCCTGGCGCTTCTGCTGAGCGCAGAAGAAGCGCCGATCAGCTGGAATGTTGCAGCATCTCCAGGGTCTTGTGATTTACATTCAGATACTTGGCAACTGATTCATATTTATGACGGTCACAGTGTCCCAGGGTCATGTGAAGTGACCAAAACCTGCTGCAACCACCCAGCAGACGGGGGGAATAAAAACCAAACACTCCCCCCACCCCCGCTGCCAATCCTCAACAGAAATGCTCACAACAATGAAAACCTCGGACAGGAGGAAAAGCACCACCAAGTGGGCAGGCAGGTGTCTTGCTCGGCTGTGGCTTGGGGGCACTTTTTCAGTACCATTGTAACTTCGAACAGTCACTAAGTGAACTGTTGTAAGTCGAGGACTATCTGTACTTTATCACTTTTTCCTTTTTGTGGGGGTCATCAAGTTTTTGACACCTTGCTAGGCGACTGGTGGTACTCGAATATTGCCATATCCTAAAAGTGGTACAATGGGTGGAAAAGTTGAAAAGCCCTGCACTAGGGCTCCAACATCCCTCTCACAGTTACTACTATTGAGCAAGGAACCACCTATACTATACCTGTATGTTTGGTTTTTCTTACCTAAATGAAGAACCTTACTTTTTGCACCATTGAATTTCATTTTGTTAGATAGTGCCCAATGTTCAAGTCTGTCCAGATCCTCCTGTATCTTAAACCTATCTTCTGGAGTGCTGGCTATTCCTGCCAGCTTGGTTTCGTCTGCAAATTTGATGAGTTCCCCATCTATCCCCTTGTCCAAATCACTGATGAAGATGTTGAAGAGCACTGGGCCTAGAACAGAGCCCTGGGGCACCCCACTACACACTTCCCTCCATGTAGATGCAATTCCATTGAGGACCACACGCTGAGTACGGCCGGTCAGCCAGCTACGAATCCATCTGGTGGTGATGCTGTCTAACCCACATTTTTCTATCTTATCAAGTAGTAGGTTGTGATCTACTTTATCAAACGCCTTACTGAAGTCCAAGTAAATTATATCCACAGCTATTCCTCTGATCCACTAATTTTGTCACTTGGTCAAAGAATGCAATAAGATTTGTCTGACATGATCTGTTTTTGACAAAGCCATGTTGGCTTTTAGTAACGACTTTATTTGCCTCTAGGTGTTCGCTGAAGCTTTTTTTTTTTTGTTATTTTTGACTTTGGTCGCAAGCCTTAGTTCATTTTGAGCCTTAGCTTTCCTCACTTCATTTTTGCGGGCTGGGGCTATTTGCTGATAATCTGCCTTAATTATGTGCCCCTCTTTCCACTTTTTATACTTGTACTTTTTATCTTTCAATTTATCAGAGAGTTCTTTATGCAGCCATGCTGGTTTCTTTTGAGAGCTGTTATTTTTCTTCTTTGTTGGTATTGTGCTAGACTGGGCTTTTATTATCTCACTTTTCAAAATTTCCCAAGCTTCTTGAGTTGTTTTCCTCTTGAGGATTCTCATCCATGGAATCCTACCCAAGCTCTCTCTAAGTTTATTGAAATTAGGTCTCTTAAAGTCCAAGACTCTAGTTTGACTGTGTTCTATTACTTGTGCTTCCATAATGTTGAATTCTAATATTGCATGATCACTTCCCCCAAGGTTCCTGTGGCTTCAACACCTTCTATCATTTTATCTCTGTTAGTGAGGATTAGATCCAATATGGTTAATCCCCTAGTTCCCTTCTCTACTTTTTGGGAGACAAAGTTGTCTGCTAGGTTTGTCAGGAATCTGTTTGATCTTCCACTTGGTGCAGGGTTTGTCTCCCAGTTGATGTCAGGGTAATTAAAGTCCCCCATTACTATGGTGATGTGCTTCCTACATACCTTAGTTAGCTGACTAGCAAAAAGTTCATCTATTTCCTCTGTTTGGTTGGGCGGCCTTTAGTATACACCTATGGCAATGTCATTTCCCCCCCCCTTTTATGTTGACCCAAATGCATTCAAGACAGTTTTCATCATTGTTGTGCTCTATTTCTGTAGAGATGTAGTTATTTCTTATATAGAGAGCAACTCCACCTCCTCTTTTATTTGGTCTGCTTCTTTTAAATAATTTAAATCCCTCTAGCTATGTGTTCCATTTGTGGGTTTCATCCCACGTTTCCGTAATGGCAACACTATATCTCTAAACTCTTGGAAATAGCGATTTTGTAGCAGCAAGCCTGTTTCTCATCATCATTTTATTTTTTACACTTTTGAACTGCTGCTGATTTTCCTCAGAGAGAGACCTAGACAGTGTACATCAAAGTATTAAAATATAAGCAGAGCATATAAAAGTTAAAAAAAATTAGAAATAGGTAAGGATGATAAAACACTGTTAAAAGTCAAGGTACTGAAAGCCCCATGGCTGCATGCTTCTTTGGGCTTCCCATGTGAGGCTACAGAGCCATGTTTTGATTCTTTTTCAGAAGGCTGGGAGGGTGGGGGCCTGCCGCACCTCTGGGTGGTGAATATTCCACAGGGTGCAGGCAATGGCACAGAAGGCTCTCTTCCTGGACCCCATCTAAGTTCTTTAACTGACATAACTTTCCCTGCCTGACTGAGTGGGATGAGCTGATGTAAGGGAACAAAACCAGTTCCATAAGTAGCCTGGGCTCATACTGTGCAGGGCTTTATAGATCATAACCAACACCTTGAATTGGGCCCAGAAGCAAACTGGCGCCAAGTGCAGTTTTCAGAGCAAAGGTATTACACGCACCCTTCTTTGGACACCCACAATTGCTCATGTGGACACCCACAATTGCTCATTCTGCACCAGGTAAAGCTTCTGGATACTTTTCAAGGGTTGCCCCATGTAGAGCACATTGCAACAATCCAAATGGGAGATAGTCAGGGCATGAGAGCCTCCCTATCCAGTAAAGGGTGTAGCTGATATATAACACGAAACTGAGCAATGGCCTTCCTAGTCATGGCTGCCATCTGCTTTTGGAGCAGAAGCTGTAAGTCCTAAAGGATCCCCAGACTATGCACCAGGTTTGTTTAGGGTAGTGCAATCCTCTCCAGGACCAAAGATGATAAGGGTCCTGGATACAGAGGGGCCCACTCATAGCCACTCCTGCTTACCAGGTTCAGCTGGAGTCTGTCATTCCCCATCTAGGTCAGGGGTAGGCAACCTTGGCTCTTTTATGACTCGTGGACTTCAACTCTCAGAATTCCTGAGCCAGCCATACTGAGGGGAAAGGGAGAGTTTCCAAGCTGAGCTATGCTGGTTCAGGAATTCTGGGAGTTGAAGTCCACGAGTCATAAAAGAGCCAAGGTTGCCTACCCCTGATCTAGGCCCACACAGCCTCCAGGAACCACAAAAGAACATCCACTGTAGGATGGAGATATTTAACTGGCTATCATCAGCATACTGGCAATACCTCATCCTGTGATGGCAGATGATCTCATCTAGTGGTTTCAGGTAGATGTGGAGACAGCATTGAACTCTATGGTACCCCGCAAAGCAGGAGCTGTGAGCTGGACCTCTCACTATACAACTTATAGCAAAGATACAACCAATCCTGTTTATTCCTATAACCACAGAACATGGATTTGCTCCTTACACCTATTATGGTTGTAAATGCATGGGGTTTTTTTTTTAGTAGAATGAAAAAGAGTTGATTTGAGGAGCAACATCCTTCAATTTCTAACAAGTTAGCACACCATTTCTGCTCTGCACTGAGGGACATACCATGAGGCAAGGTAACTCCAGCACCATCAATAATGGCTTGTGCTAGCCCATGATCATTTGCCTCCACAGCATAGGCGGCAGCCTTGAGTGCATCCCAAATCTCTTTGCGTCCCTCAAAGGCAGGGGCTGTATCCCAAAATTCATCCCGTTTGCTTCTTAGTTGCCCATCCGTCATTGGATAATCACTCTTCCATTTGGGACGATCCTTTTTTAGAGGTTCATTACGACCTGCAAAGAGATAGGGACATTTCAAACCAGGAATCTTCAAAACTTCTAACTACATCTTCTTACAATCACTGCTTCATATTTTTTTTTACATCAAATGCTGGCAAGTTGCACCACTCCTTGAGGTTGTGACAGTTTTTCCTAGTTAATTTTTTCAAGTCCCACTACTTTATCAGAGATAGAATTAAACTCTGACTGATTTTTTTTAGTATATGTGTAATCACAAACTCCTTTTATGAAAGCCTTAATATGTTCTGATCTGAACACAGCAACTTTTCATCAACTCCCATCTCTATATAAATCCTGCAAACTTCATCTTGCATTTTTAAAATTCTCTTCACTGTTTCTGCTTTTTCTTTCTTAGCTGCATCATCCAAAAACTGCCAAATGGTTTAATAGAGGAACAACTAATAGAAAACAGAATGCTATACATTCTGAGAAAGATGAGATCATCACTGAACTGAGAAGCACTTTGAGTGACAATATTTGCCTTTGTTGCTTAAAGCAATGAATGCAGCATACATCAATTTTGTAGAGATTATAGCACCTGACATTACCAAAAACATCGTAAAGAAAAAATTAAATCAGCCTTCTCCTATCCTGTACTTTCCATGTCTGCTAGATTTTTTTTCTTCCATAATTCTCAGCCAATATTATGGGGCTTATGGTAGTTAAAATCCAACATGTGTGGAAGACATCAAGTTGGAGAAAGCAGGACTACATTTTCTATAAGATTTTGTTAAAAAGGAGAGCTGTGGTAAGAACAAAACCAGTGACATTTAAATAGGATATGATAGCCTCTAATCTAGATGACCCAGACAGATTGAAGGGGAGGAATTCTGGATATTTAATCCCAACCCATCTGTGAGTGTGTGTGTATGTGAATTAATATTTTCAAGAACGGGAATTCTTTCAACATTACACAAAATCCTGGTCAAAAGCAATAAATAAATATCCTATTTCAAAGATCGAGATTGCTAAAACTGAAGTAAAAAATAAATGCCAGGGTCAACAGGATTTAAAAACAAGATGCTACTCACATTCCTTGCTCAGCAAGGGAAAACTAGAAGCTGAAAACTTAACAGTTCAGATATGAAAAGTACAATTACTGAGAAAGGGATAAAAAATTCACTGCTATGTGTAGAATACTGAAAGACAGAGCTTTAAAAAGCCAAATCATGTGACAGTATTACTCAGGACAAGTCACAAAGACACTCCTTAAATCAACTCTAGTCTGGAATTATTATTTTTATTTCTTTTAAAATTAAAATTTAAAATTCTTTTAAAATTATTTATTTTTTATCAAAATAGATCCAAGGTGGCTCTTTCAGAACAATTCCACTTTAGCGGCAATTTCCTTTTTGTGGGTAATTGCCAAACCTTTAAGATTTCAGCTGGCAGAATTTCTAGCCAGTGGATGTTTCAAGGATGTTTTTTTTTCCTTGTTCAATTGTGTAGTTTTCACAGACTACCCGGACACATCCCTGCAGTTTTCTAGGCAAGGTTTTTCACAAGTG